GCTTGGGGCTCTTTAGCTTGGAGAGAAGACGGCTGGCCACTGTGTGACAAGAGTGTTGGACTGGATGGGCCATTGGCCTGATCCAACATTAGCTTCTCTTATGTTCTTATGGATGGGTAAGCCAATTGTACCTGCAGCACAGACGAGGGGCAAAAATTCTGCCCTTTCCCAAGGCTGAATGAAAGGAGGCCAGGCCACAATAGAGAAACATGCAGGGGCACAACGGGAAGCCTCCTCTGCTGGTGGGTATTTTGAGCTCACGGGTACCTTTTGTTATTAATTTCTGGTGGCAAACCAGACGTTCTCGCTCTCTTTTTGCACATGACCATGTTAGGGAATCCAGCATTCATCCCTACCCACTAGTGGCAGGATCAAAAATGAAAAGAACGCAGAGAACATAAGAACATAAGAACATAAGAGATGCCAATGTTGGATCAGGCCAAAGGCCCATCCAGTCCAACACTCTGTATCCCACAGTGGCCAGAAATACCAGGTGCCATCAGGAGGTCCAGCAGTGGGGCCAGGACATTAGAAGCCCTCCCACTGTTGACCCCCCCAAGCACCAAGAAGACAGAGCATCACTTGCCCCAGAGTCCCTATCTATACCTTGTGGCTAATAGCCACTGATGGACCTCTGCTCCATATGCTTATCTAATTCCCTCTTGAAGCCATCCATGCTTGTAGCCGCCACCACTTCCTGTGGCAGTGAATTCTGTTTGTGTACCTTCATTTACACAGCCTGGATGCAGAAGGGATTTTGAGGCCAGCTTACAGAACCCATTGGCTTCCAGAGGTTCAGGGACTGTTTTTGTAATTTCACAGATACAGCCAGATGCTTTCCTCAGAAAGCCTGTTATGCAGACCCTCTGACCTTTTATACATCCAATCCCTTCCGCCCTACACCAGGTGAACAACGCAATCAAGTTCTGTACAGAATGAGGGGCAAGACTGCAGTTTGAGGCTCATTCTAACCCTCTGCATTTTTCAAAACCCATGGCCCTTGAGGATCACGGCCCAAGCTTGCTAATGGAGACTAGGCACCGGGGTGTAAAGTCTTAAGTCAACAACTAATGCTTCTGTAGAAGGAAACAATCTCTGGCAAACAGAACTATTATTTACAAATCTCCTGGCGTGGCCCCTGATCCCTGTTTATATAAGGCAATAAACATCAGATCATATACACAAGAGACAGTGTATTGAGAAGAACGGAGAGGGCAGGTGTCGGAATGTGTTTGCAGGTTTAATCCTTTTCCTCTTTAAGGAGGTTCCTGCATTTTTTAAAACCGTGGCCGAAGTGCAGTCAGGGGAAAGTTCACAAGCCGTGGGTGAGGGGGCAGAAATGGATCTGCCGGTCAAAGGAAGGGGTGGGGTCCAAAATCGCACCTGGACCTTGGGGACCCTTTGGACTGAAGTTGTTAGAGCGTGTCCAGAGGAGGGCAACCAGGATGGTGAGAGGGCTGGAATCCAAGTCTTACGAGGAAAGGCTGGAAGAGTCGGGTCCGTTTAGCCTGGGAAAGAGAAGGCTTAGAGGGGACATGATTGCAGTCTTCAAGTATTTGAAGGGCTGTCATGTAGAAGATGGAGCACATCTATTCTCTCTTGCTCCAGATTGCAAGACTAGATCTAAGGGGTGGAAATTACAAGGGAGTCGTTACCGGCTAAATATCAGGAGAAACTTCCTAACTGAGTGGGTGCGTTCAGACGGGGGCTTTATACCGGTTAGGGTGCCGGTTCCAACCATTGTACTCACCGGCGTTCAGACGGGGCACATCTGCCTCCTCTCCCTAACCGGTGTAAAGCCCTTTAAACCGTTGCATTCTGCTACCAGGTCCCCAAGTGGTGGTATACAGAGTGCAACGGTTGTAAACGGTGCACCCCGGCGTCTGATCGCTCTCCACCGTTCCCCAGCTACTTCCGTTGGAAGCCTGAGGCTTCCGGCTTTCCCCGGCCATTTTTTTTTAAACTTAGCGATATGCGCTCAGGCAAAGCTTTGCCCTGAGCGTTTGTTAAAAAAAAAAAAAAGCCCTTACTTTAAGTACCCGGCGGAGGAGTCCGGGACTACAGGGAGGCCAGGTGGGGCTTTAAACTTTAAAGGTAAGTCCTTACCTTTAAAGTTTAAATGTAATGGGGGGGGGGGTTGAGCATGCGCAAAGATCGCCATTCTGTGAATGGCTGCCTATGCGCATGCTCAAACTGTGCTTAAAAAAAAAAAACGCCGACGCCCGCAGCGTGTGAGCGGGCGTCCAATGGAGGGATCCGGAAGATGGAGGTAAGCGTGATCGCGTTTCTGCCGGCATAAACTGCACCAGTTCCAACCGGTGCAGTTTATGCGGGCAGAAACGCCCCGTCTGAACGCACCCTAAGAGTGGTTGAGCAGTGGAAAAGGTGGTGGATGCTCCTTCGCTGGATGTTTTCGAGCGGAGGCTGGATGACCGTCTTTCGGGTATGTCGTAGGGCTATCTTTCGGCTGAGGGGGTTGGATTAGATGACCTGCAAGGCCCCTTCCAACTCTAACGTTCTATGATTCTATGAAATTGTGTATTTGAATCTCTCTTGAAGTATTTGTACGCACTTCGGAAATGTAGATGCAGTGGGAGAATCGCTAGGTTTGACAGCAAAGGCCCATCCCAGCAGTCGGCGTCAGAGGGCAGGTGTGCCGTAGAAACAGCGAGATTCGCACCCAGTGGCGGTTTGGAGACCAACAAGATTTCCCAGGGTGAGCTTTAGAGAATCGAAGCTCTGGTATCCGATGGAGGGAGCTCTGCCTCCCGAAAGCTCATACCCTGGAAATCTTGTTGGTCTTGAAGGTGCTACTGGATTCGAATCTAGCCATTCCAGCGTTTCCATCTGAATTTGATGCGGGAAAGGCAAATAAATGGACAGAAGCCGTGGTCTGGTGGCAGAGCACCTGCTTTGCATGCAGAAGGTCCTGGCCCAGCCTCTGGTGCTGCCTGTCCAAAGGAACTAGTGGCAGGTGAAGTGAAAGAGCTCCACTCGGGACCCTGGAGTGTTGCTGCCGGTCAGAGTAGACAGTGCTGGCCTTGATAGACCAAGGGTCTGACTCGATATAAGGCAGCTTCATTTAGGCAGGGTCTGTGGCTTGGTGGTAGAGCACCTGCTTTGCATGCAGAAGGTCCCCGGTTCAACCCCCGGCAGCCCCAGTTGAAAGGACCAAGCTGCAGGTGGATGTGGAAGAGCTCCAGTTGGGACTCTGGAGAGTTGCTGCTTGAGTAGACATCATCATCATCATCGTATGGGATTGTGTGTAGAACAGCCAGGAGATCCTAAGATCACCTGGCAGCCGGAAGTCCTAGCTCTTTTAGCTTTTTGCACCACTAGGTGGTGAGCTAGACTTTTTTTTTTTAAGGCAACAGATGTTTCAGAGGTGGTTTGTCATTGCCTGCCTCTGCACCACGGCCCAGTGAGGATTGTGAGGCACTCCAAAGGGATCTGTCAAAGATGGGCGAGTGGGCATCAACATGGCAAATGGGGTTCAATGTGGCCAAGTGCAAGGTGATGCACATTGGAGCCAAAAATCCTAAATATAAATACACGTTGATGGGGTCTGAACTGGCAGAGACTCATCAAGAGAGAGATCTTGGAGTCGTAGTAGATAACTCACTGAAAATGTCGAGACAGTGTGTGACTGCAATAAAGAAGGCCAATGCTATGCTGGGGATTATTAGGAAGGGTATTGAAAACAGATCAGCCAATATCATAATGCCCCTATATAAATCAATGGTGCGACCTCATCTGGAATACTGTGCGCAATTCTGGTCACCACACCTTAAAAAGGATATTATAGCTTTGGAAAAAGTGCAGAAAAGGGCAACTCGAATGATAAAGGGGTTGGAACACTTTCCCTATGAGGAAAGGTTAAGGCGCTTAGGGCTCTTTAGCTTGGAGAAACGACGACTGAGGGGTGACATGATTGAGGTTTATAAGATTATGCATGGGAAAGAGCAGGTAGAGAAAGAGGTACTTTTCTCCCTTTCTCACAATACAAGAACTCGTGGGCACTCCATGAAACTGCAGAGCGGTCAGGTTAGAACGGATAAAAGGAAGTACTTCTTCACCCAAAGAGTGATTAACACATGGAATTCACTGCCACAGGAAGTGGTGGCGGCTACAAGCATGGACGGCTTCAAAAGGGAATTAGATAAGCATATGGAGCAGAGGTCCATCAGTGGCTATTAGCCACAAGGTATAGATAGGGGCTCTGGGGCAAGTGATGCTCTGTCATCTTGGTGCTTGGGGGGGGTCAACAGTGGGATGGCTTCTAATGTTCTGGCCCCACTGGTGGACCTCCTGATGGCACTGGTATTTCTGGCCACTGTGTGATACAAAGTGTTGGACTGGATGGGCCTTTGGCCTGATCCAACATTGGCTTCTCTTATGGTCTTATGTTCCTATGTTCTTATGGTATTCCTTGGAGGTTGCCCTTCCACCTACCAGCCTGCTTAGCTTCCGAGATCTGACGAGATCCGGCTGGCCTGGGCTATCCAGGTCAGAGCACCACAGTAGGCAATATTGACCTGGTTCAGTTAAATAAAAGCACATTCTATATGCAAGTCAGTCTGGTTACTGCTGAGGTCCATGGCCAAGAGAAGCAGTTAAGGATTCGGGTGTAAATCTCTTGCACTGCACAGCTCGCCCCTTGTGGCTCCGCGAGGTCTCTCAATCCAGCCCTTTCTCATCAGCACGTTGCGGCAGTTTGCATGTCGGGCTCGGATCTGGGAGACGCAGGTTCGAATCCCGACCAGTGTTCCCTCTAAGCTGAGTTAGTGTGAGCTAGCTCACAGAGTTTTAGCCCCCGGCTCACACATTTTTGTCTCAGCTCAGGAAGGCTGGCTCCAGAGCAAACTAATTTATGCAGCAGCCAAATGGCTCGCCCACACCTTTAACGGCAGTAGCTCACAAAGTAGAATTTCTGCTCACAAGACTCCACAGCTTAGAGGGAACATTGATTTCCCAACCCTGCCACGGAATCTTGCTGGCTGACCCTGGGCCGGTCACACACTCTCCGCCTCGCCTACCTCACAGGGTCTCCATGAGGACAACACGGAAAAGAGAAGAGGGACGCCAACCGCTTTGGGTTCCCCCGAAGGAGAAAGGCGGGGTGTGATTTTTAATTTATTTACTTCAATTGTATCCCAACAGTCTCCCACTGGGGAGAAAGGCAGGATGTACCCGAAGCAAATTAAATGAAGGAATTAACCGCATGACTAAACTAGCTAAATAAGCAGCCAAACCCACCGAAGGGCCGAAGCTCTCAGTGGAGAAGGAAAAGCCTGAATTCTGAGGAGTCTGACTCAGCGTCTGTGGAATCAGGCCTTTTAAAAACAAAGCATGGCGACTTCTGCAAACCTTAGCCCTGGAGTTAGACGGGGGTCCTAGAGGTCACCTAGTCCAACCCCCTTGCTCAGTGCGGGAATCAGTCAACTACAGCACCCCGCTCTGCTTTAAAGGCCTCCAGGGAGGAAGAATCCACCCCCTCCAGCGGCAGTCCCTTTGGCCATTCCTTTTATTTCTGGGTTCCCAGCTCTGGATTGGGGTGAGATTTTTGGGGTGGAGCCTGGGGAGGGTTTTGGGGAGGGGAGGGAATTCAGTGGGGTATGGTGCCATAGGGTCCACCGTCCAAAGCGGCCACTTTCTCCAGGCGATCTGATCTCTGTCGCCAGGAGGGCAGTTGTAATCCCTGGAGGCTGGCAACCCTACATTTACGCCCCACTTTTCTCCCCAAAGGAGCTGCGGTGGCTCAAGTGGTTAAGTCGCTGAACTGCAGGCTGTGGAAGGTCGGTAGTTCAGCAGCTCGAGACCCGAGTGTGCCGCATGACGGAGTGAGCTCCCGTCTCTAGTTCCAGCTCCTGCCAACCTAGCAGTTCGAAAGCAAGAAATTGCAAGTAGATAAATAGGTACCGCTTCGGTGGGAAGGTAACAGCGTTCCGTACGCCTTGGTGTTTAGTCATGCCGGCCGCATGACCACGGAAACGTCTTCGGACAGCGCTGGCTCTTCGGCTTTGAAACGGAGATGAGCACCGCAACCCTAGAGTCGGATTCGACTGGCTTTCGAGCAAGGGAAACCTTTACCTTTACCTTTTCTCCCCAAGGGGGAGGCCAAAAGCAGCTTGTCAATTACAACGCCGCTCCCACCCCCTCCTTGATACTCAACAACAACCCTGCGAGGTGGGCTCGGCTGGGAGTCTGTGATGCGCCCCAGGTCGCCTCCGTGGCCGGGGGGGTGGGGGGCTCCCACTCTCTAACCACTAGGCCGGGCGTCTCCGAGCATTTGCCAGCAGCCGACTTCCTCCCGAGTGGCACCCGTCCTGCCCTCCGGAGCCAGGCCGCTCCACAGCCCCCCAGAGGTCACCTTTGGCCCTTCCGCCCTGCATTGCAGGGGGGGGGGAGCTTGGGGCTTAGACCCCCCCCCACACACACACACCCCGGGGCCGGCCGGCTGGACAAGCGGAGCGCAGCAAGGAAGCCCCGTGGCTGGTCTCCCTCCCCCCCTCCCTCCCTCCCTCCCTCGGCCTTGCAGGGCTCCGATCCCTCCCTCCCTCCCTCCTCCCGCGGCGGCACTCACGGGTGTCCTCCTCGGAAGCCAGGTCGTCCATCATGCCTCACTGCAGCCGCATGCCCGCGCCCCGCCGCGGAGGAGACGCCGCCTCCAACGTGCAGGCAGGAGCAGGAGCACAATACGCAGCCGCTGCCGCCGCCGCCGGGGCTGCGGCGAAGATGGTGCCCGCGGGGGCCGGCAGGCTCGCCGCCGCCGCAGCCTCCGCCTCCCGCTGCTTTCTCCTCCTCCTCCTCCTCCTCCTCCTCCTCTTCGCTGGGCTTGTGGGGAATTCGCGCAGAATAGCCTTGCATAAGAACATCAGAAGAGCCCTGCTGGATCAGACCAGGGAAGGTCCATCTAGTCCAGCATCCTCTCTCACACAGTGGCCAGCCAGTCCCTCCTCTGGAGGGCCAACAACAGGGCAGAGAGGCCAAGCCCTTCCCCTGAGAAGAACCTCAGAAGAGCCCAGCTGGGTCAGACCAGGGAAGGTCCCTCTAGTCCAGCCTCCTGTCTCACACTGCGGCCAACCAGTTCCTCCGGAGGGCCAACAACAGGGCAGAGAGGCCGAGGCCTTCCCCGGATAAGAACATAAGAAGAGCCCTGCTGGATCAGACCAGGAAAGGTCCATCTAGTCCAGCCTCCTGTCTCACACAGGGGCCAACCAGTTCCTCTGGAGGGCCAACAACAGGGCAGAGAGGCCGAGGCCTTCATAAGAACATCAGATGAGCCCTGCTGGATCAGTCCAGTAGTCCATCTAGCCAAGCATCCCGTCTCACACAGTGGCCAGCCAGTTCCTCTGGAGGTCTAACGACACGGCATAGAGCCTAAGAACGTCAGAAGAGCCCTCCTGGATTAGACCAGGGGTCCATCTAGTCCAGCATCCCGTCTCACACAGTGGCCAGTCAGTTGCTCTGGAGGGCCAACTACTGGGCAGAGAGGCCGAGGCCTCCCCCTGATAAGTACATAAGGAGAGCCCTGCTGGATCAGACCAGTGG